AAGCTAGCATTTTAGATAAGGTGGAAGGTGGCAGCTGAGGGATATTGGGCAAGACACAAGGGAGCCCCCTGGTACTGATTAATACAAGGTTTAAACTGACCTCCTCACCCCTCAGTGACTGTGTGGTGGTGTGGTGGGCATGCAGGACCAGCCCCTCAAGCAGCAGAAGAAAGGCAGTGGGGGAGGAGGTCCAGGGAGGGCCGCCTGGTGCTCAGGACAGCTGGGTGTCAAAGAGGCGGGGTGCTTCAGCACATGCCCAAGAGAGGCGAGGAAAACACCAGTTGACACCCTTTGGCTGTTGCACCCTCCCCACCTCACTTGTCTGTTGAGTGTGGCTTCTTTGATGAAGGACCCAAAGGACACACTTTCCCCTCAAGTAGATGGTTTAGATTAAGCCACCGTATGGAGGAATCCTTGACCACGTGGGTCCCAAAGAGGGACAGGGCAGATCATGTGCTCTTTGCAAACTATGCTGCACAGAGCTCTGAGGAGCCCTGAAGGTTCTTGGGAGGCCCCAGCAGGAGATACAGTGAAGGCAGGAACTGGGCTGCAGCCAAGCAGCGGTGTGGGGGGAACTCAGCCCCTCCCCCAGGAGATACAAATCCTGCTTGGCCAAGTCCTGGCTCTGCAGCATGAAGACAACCGACAACACATGACTCTGCTCACTTGTGCCAGGCATGCTGCTAAGCTCATCACGGGTTTGAACCCACCGACTCCTCGCTGCCTCTGGGAGGCAGTCCTCTGTCCCTCTTACTCAGGAGGGAAGCATTCCAGAGAGGCCAAGGAACATGGCTAAAGTCACGGAGCTGAAAGTCGCTGAGCAGGGCCTCACATTCCGGGAGCCTTTATCCCTTACCGCTGTGCTACCGTGTCCCTCCAGGTTGTGCCTGGAAGCACCCTAGAGACACCCTGGCCACATGAGAGAGGGCAAGGTGTCCCCACCTTCGGTTCAGTCAGAGTGCCTGCAAGTTCATTCCAGCACACCAAGACCTCTCCTTCATCTCCCCATGTCTGCTGCTACACATGAGCAGTGCGTCTGTCTGGGATGCGGAGCGATGGGTGGGCACGGTGATGCCCACGCAGTACCGTCTCTTTTAGTGCCCTCCCGGGAGCCAACTGGTTCACAGTATGCACCTTCCCTGGCCAGCCTGCCTCACCGCCTCCTTCAGGCCAGCACTATGCAGCACTGCAGTGTGGGGTTCTTTACTGAAAGACCATAGCGCCATGTAAGTTGGGGGGGTGGACTGGAGGCCCGGCAAAGCTGCTCAGGTTTCCTGCGCCCTTCCAACTCTTCCCCTCTGCAAAGAGAGGGTCCCTTGGGCATTGCCTCCTACCCACTTCACTTTCTCTGCAGAAGATACGCTCCTTTCCCCTGTTCAGGTCTTGCTCTGGGCCTCACAGTCCCACCTCCAAACCACTCCGCAAATGAAGAGTCAGGTCTGCCCCCTGGCTCTGACAACTTGCTTTCTCTTTCTTTCTTTCTTTCTTTCTTTCTTTCTTTCTTTCTTTCTTTCTTTCTTTCTTTCTTTCTTTCTTTTTTTTTTTTTTTTTGACAGGCAGAGTTAGACTGTGAGAGAGACAGAGAAAGGTCTTCCTTCCGCTGGTTCATCCTCCAAATGGCCGCTACAGCCGGCCCTGCACCGATGCAAAGCCAGGAGCCAGGTGCTTGTTCCTGGTCTCCCACGCAGGTGCAGGCACCCAAGCACTTGGGCCATCCTCCACTGCCTTCCCGGGCCACAGCAGAGAGCTGGACTGGAAGAGGAGCAACTGGGATTAGAACCTGGCGCCCATATGGGATGCTGGCGCCGCAGGCGGAGGATTAACCAAGTGAGCCACGGCACCGGCCTGACAACTTGCTTTCAAATTGCCTTGCGCCCTCCACAGTTCTTCTCTGCGCTTTGCAGGAGGAGGCTGGGAGGGGGCTGAGTCTCCCTGGGTGAACTGGGGACCGCACTGGCAATTCAACCTCCTACTAGAAAGAGCTGTTTGGGAGGAGGCTGGTGGCTAACCTTGCCAAAGAGAGCACGAGTTGCCACTGCCTAGTGGAAACCAGGAAGCCCCGTATCAAAGGAGGCTGCTGCTCCTCTGAGCAAACTTTGCACCTCCAGGAACAACCTTTCTGGAAACTTGGCCAAGAGCCTTGCCACTTAGGACAAACGCATCCACCATTACCGTGCCCCGAAGAGTTCGGGTGCCCCACCCGACCTGAAGCCGCTGGCCCTGGGGGAAGTGGTGCCGGATTCTGAACTTAAACTTGGAAAATATATTCCAAGTCTCCCTCCTGATTTAAATGGGGGTGGTACAAGCTCCTCAAACTGACATCAACTTATTAGGCTTCCATGTAAATTTCGGTTTCAAAGAAGGAACCTGTTTGAAATCAGATGCCAAGTCCTTTTGTCTTGTTTTACATTTGAGAAAACTCAAGGTGGGAGACTCCGTGGACAGGAGCTCACCTTTTACAAGGGGAGAACAAACCTTAGGTTTCCCATGAAGCAGCTGATACGGAGAAAGCATGCGAGTGGAATTCCTCCTAGAATCCTGAGTAGAGCAGCACTGGGGCGCTGACCCGTGCCTCGCCCTGCCCTGGGCACCCCCTGGCTGGCTGGCTGGCTTTCCCTTCTTTCAACAAGCGTGGATGGATTGTGCGGCCTTGGGAAGATTTACTGTTACTATTTCATGGCTATGTATAAAGCTAGAACACTTCCAGTCTCAGTCAGTCTCCCCGCTGGGCTGTTTCAAGGCCCCGACTTGGGACGGCCACAAGGCAAAATCCGATCCGCTGGAATGTAACCGCGGTTCTTTCAAGACTCTGGGGTGGTTTGTTTAAGATAAGGAGATGACAAATAGGCTGCATTTGGAGTCACTAAGGGAAAGACTGGGAAAGCAAGTGCACAGTCTATACCTGCCGTGGAATGGATGACATCATCTCTGGTGAGGGCGGGTGGGGGCGGGGGAGGACTCTGTCTCCACAGGGCCCCTGCCTTTCTAAAGGGAAACTGCCCTACTTTTCTTTCTTCTTCTAGTGATGACCCTATATGGCGAATCCGTACCGCAGGCAGCTGTGGGATCAGGGTGTGGAGTGGAGAGAGAGAGGCAAGAGGAGGAGAGCCATTAGCAGCTCAAACTCAGGTCAAAAACCACCTCCAGCCCTCACTGCCCTTGGGACCTCAAGTCTCTACTTTCTGATCTTTCTGTGGGGTGAGGACAACACCCCCTCAGGTCAGGATGAGAAGAACAACGCAACGCAACACTTTGGAAAGAGTTGCCTAGAGTCTATTTGAACTTCATCGGAGTCTCTTCAACCCTCAGCTGGCTTTCTGTCCCTAAACTCTCCCCAGCTGCCTGTGCCCACAGATCATCAATGATCTGCATGTGGCAAAGCCCAGCTCCCTCCCTCTGAATCCCGGCCTCTCCTGGCCTCTGTGACAGGACCTGGCCCTGCTGCTGCTCCTCCTCCTGGGCTATTTTTCCTCCGGGGCCAGGCACGGCTCCTCCCTCAGGGCTGGGTCTTTCTTTCCAGCTTCTCCTCACCCCCTAGGGTGCTCCCATATACTCCCAGGGCTTCATGTACCAACTGGAAGTTACTGATGCCTACATCTACACTGCAGCCTTGACCTCCTTCAGGAATTCCAACTTCCCACTGCACATCACCACCTAGGTGCCAAAGGGTCATTCCAAACTTCCTATGGCCAAGACAAGACTCTTGGGGCCAACACTGTGGCACAGCAGTTAAGCCACTGCCTGCTATGCTGGCATCCTTTGTGAGCACTGGTTCAAGTCCCAGCTGCTCCACCTCCAATCCAGCTCCCTGCTAATGTTCCTGAGAAAGCAGCAGAAGATGGTATTTCTGAGTACTGGGGTCCCTGCCACCAATGTGGGAGACCTGCATGGAGGTCTAGCTTCCTGGCTTCACCTGGCCCAGCCCTGGCTGTGGCAGCCATTTGGGGAGTGAACCAGCAGATGGAAAGCTTCCCGCCTCCCCCTGCCTCCAACAACTCTGCATTTCAAATAAATCTTAAAACAAATAAGAGCCTTGATTCCTACTACTCGACCCCCTAAAGAACCTGCTCCCCAGTCTCGCAGCCAGGAGCTGTCTCTGACAGCTCTTTCTTTTACAACCCCCGCCCCCACCCCTGCCCCCGTCATCTAATGCATCAGCTGCATCTCAAAAACTCACCTCAATTCCACCTCCCCTCCAGCTCCACCCCCACATCCCAAACCAAGCCCTTTTATCTTGTTCCTGGGCCACTGAATTTAACTCACAGAATCAAAGTGAGCTGCCCAAAGCTATGTCTCCTCACAGCAGAACTAGGCCCCGACTCTGAGGCAAGTGCTCCTCCCACAAGTCGTGATGGGTGTCGGGTATTTTCATGTTCATTCCAGTATTCTCTTTTCATTTTTTTTTTAATCTGAGACACAGAGAAAGAGCACATATACTTCCATTCACTTTTTCATTCTCCAAATACCCACAATGACTGGCGGGCTGAGCCAGGCCAAAGCTGGGAGCTGGGAATTCAACCCAGGTCTCCCCCGTGGGTGACTGAAACCCAATCACTTGACCCATCACCTGCTGTCTTCCAGGGTCTGCATTAGCAGGAAGCTGGAGTTGGGAATCAGAGCTGGGAATCAAACCCAGGCACTCCAGTGTGGAACAATGCAGTCATCTTAATACCTGGGCTAAACACTGGCTCACTCAAAATCTCTAGTGAGAAATGCTGAAAGCGGGGGGAATCAGCATTTAATTTTCTGTGGTCACTACAACCCTTCAAATGGTGTTTTCCAGAAGATGTATTTGTTTTCACTTACCTCTTCTTCAAGAGGAACAAATGATACTGCTCGCTTATTGAGTGCACCATGATGATCTGTTCATGTTCTACTTTCTAGCATGGGGTTGAGGAACAGATAGAGTAGTGACAGTAGCCATGCTCTGTGATACAAATGGCTATTTTGTAATAATGCTTACTGTGATGCTTATTATTATGTCATCGTCACCTGTGTAGCCTCGCCCACCTGTCCAGCCTATCCTGTAGCAGTGTTCAGGTGTTGGTGACTTGGAAAGAACCAGAGGGTGGCCTATGTGCCTTCTGTTCACGAGTGATGGAAACAGAGGAGGGAGCAAGGAAGATGCCTGAGGCACTGCCGACAGAACACTCAAAATACTTGCAAGTCTCCAGCATAGGAAACCCAGAAGTGTGATGCGTTGCCAGGACTCTTAACCACAGGTAACAGAAACCCAGAGCCAATTAGCGAAGGGGAGATGGGGGAGTGTACTGGCAAATCCGAACAATACGGAAGGAATTCCAACTTCAGATGCACCTGGGCCCAGAGACTCGAGGGAGGTCACTGGCTTCCAGCTCTGATCTCAGCTAGATGGCTTGCAGAAGCCCAGGAGCCACGCTCCGTGGATCAGCCACACGAGCAACAGACTCCTGAGAATAAACCTCTGCAGACATGCTGGGGTGCAGGCCGCAACCCTGAGCCACTCACGTGACCAATGGGACGGTGGAGGCGCTACAGGCCCTGGCCTCTGTGCAGAGAGTCCCCTGCAAGGCAGAGGGTCTCTGCCAACGTGAAGAGGGGTGAGGACGTGCCCCTGGTGATTCCGATATTGCTGAAAGTGCTCTGGAGAGATTTCCAGTAGAAATAAGTCCGCATTGAACCAGTCTCTGCTAGTCATCCAAGATGTGGCTAGACCCTCTTCCCCTGTGGGAAGCGCAGCGAGGGCTCATCCTAAAATGTTTTTAATATTGGACAGAAGCAGGAAGGAGGAATTCTCACCCTCCCCCTACCCTCCCCCTCCCCCTCCAAAGTCCACTCCGTTTTTGAGAGAAAAGCACACACAAATGCTTCAATTGTTTGTTTCAGATCATCCTCAACTCGACTGCATTTCTTTATCTGGGATGACCGGAAGCTGGATATAACCCTGCTGAGAGAGAAAACGTCACTCACGCAAAGGTCGTTCCTGGTAATGAGGTGATGTGATCCGAAATGGAGGGATTCTGTGAGGTTATGTGGCCCATGACTCACGGTGACTCACATCCCACACTGAATTTGGGACAAATCCCTTCCTGATGCCAGCGGAGGCTTCCGTGGGTAATTTAATCAACTGGGCCACCTTATCCTGTTGCCATCACATCATTTACCAAGATTTATGCAAAAGAAAAAAAAGATCTTTGTGCAGGCTCCTAAACTTTCAAGTTGACAACAGACACCCCTTTCAGACAGACATTGTAAGAAGAAAACTATGAGGACACCAAGGCTACAGTCCAGTTCCCTGCTCCGACATGAGAGGCCTCGAAGGAATCACTCTTCCCAACAAACTCAGTTGTCAGTTGTTGTGCCCAAAGGGCTCAGTCCACCCTGTGTCCCCCCAGAGAGGATGGTGGAGCTGGGGGGGGAGGGGCGACAGTTGCCCTAGGTCACCTTTGCTGTCTGTTGGTGACTTTCTTTTTTTTTTTTTTAGATTACTTTTCTTATTTATTTCTTTTCTTTTTTTAGGTGTTTATGTAAGTTTATTTTTCTTTAGTGTATAAAGTACTGAAGAAATGTACAAATACTCCAAAGATCCATGCCACCATTAAGAAAGAAAAAGATCAAAGTCAAACAAAAACCTATGGACACACCTATATATATGATCTTATTCACTCATTACTGGCAAGATTCTGACATAAATTCTAATTCCAGCTTATTTTGTCCTTTCTAATCTATGTTGTGATTTTCCAAAGTACAGTTTATGGATTACAATGGCTTCCCCCCCCCATAACTTCCCTCCCACTCGCACCCCTCCCATCTCCCGCTCCCTCTCCCCTTCCATTCACATCAAGATTCATTTTCAATTATCTGTATATACAGAAGATCGATTCAGTATATATTAAGTAAAGATTTCATCAGTTTGCACCCGCACAGAAACACAAAGTGTGAAATACTGTTTCAGTACTAGTTATAGCATTACTTCACGTCAATGCTCCCTTTCCTTGGGCCCCGGGGGCACAAGGTTACACTCCAAGCTGAGTTGCCAGTAGCTGGGAGCATGCTCACTGGTTGGAAATTTTCAGATATTTGCATGTGTGCCCTGGAACATAAAAGACAGTGGCAAAGATCGTTCATCCACTCCCAGCTGGCACAGGGGAAGGTCGGTGACCAAGCAAGAGTACAGAACAGTCTGACAGAGGGCACAGGATTTGATGAGCCAGGACACTGGGAACCCTCCTTCCCCTAACAGTTGAGCCATCCCTTATTTGCTGCTTTGCTGACGGAGGAGTCAGGGACAAAGCCTGTACTTCTGGGGGGAAACTCCCCGCTTCAGAGCCGGTTCTTGTGAGAAAGCTCAAGCTCGAAGTCAGTCACGGGGAGGATTTTCATCTGAGCCAAGCGCAGCAAGCTGTACTCAGCGCAGGTACCAATCTGCATTGGCATCTACCGTGGGAAGCCCCAAAATGTGAATTTTTACATTTTGAGTTTTTCTAAAGAACACAAGCAATACTGACATTATGCTCTTAAAACTGCATTATAAAATGCATGAAATTTGTTCCATTTATATAAATACAATTTTTTAAAAAGTAAAAACAAAAACACATAAGCATACAAAAGAGACTCATGCCCACATGATTTTTTTTTTTTTTTTGACAGGCAGAGTGGACAGTGAGAGAGAGACAGAGAGAAAGGTCTTCCTTTGCCGTTGGTTCACCCTCCAATGGCTGCCACAGCTGGTGCGCTGTGGCCGGCGCACCGCGCTGATCCGAAGCCAGGAGCCAGGTGTTTTTCCTGGTCTCCCATGGGGTGCAGGGCCCAAGCACTTGGGCCATCCTCCACTGCCTTCCCGGGCCACAGCAGAGAGCTGGCCTGGAAGAGGGGCAACCGGGAAAGAATCCAGCGCCCCGACTGGGACTAGAACCCGGTGTGCCGGCGCCGCTAGGTGGAGGATTAGCCTATTGAGCCGCGGCACCGGCCCACCCACATGATTTTTAATCTTCCACTTTGGCATTGTCTTCTGAGCGTCGTGGGATCGGTGACCCATCAGGTGATAGCAAGTGAGACTTGGAGAATGCGCCTTGGTGGGGAGGGAGGCTGCCCAAGTTCACCAGCCTCACCAGGATCAAGGCAGTCAGTCCTTCCCTTGCTCCTTCTGTTCTCAGTGGAAAATGCAGCCCTCACCTGTCCAGGAAACAGGGACAGGGGGTGTAGGGAGGGTGGGAAGAGGTGGCCCTCCAGCCAGCTTGGGACAGTCCTTTCTATATCCGGGGGCTTCTTCCCATCCAGTGTCAACAGCAGCAGCCACAACTCACGTGTGGTCTACTCTAGGGCTGGTGCAGTGCTCACCCCATTACAAATGCTCCTCAGTTCATGATGGGGTTATGTCCCAACAAACCCAGTACAAGCTGAAAACATTGTTAAGTGGAAGATGCATTTAGTATCGCTGACCTACAACACATCACAGCCTAGCCTGGCCTACCCTCAGGGTGCTCAGAGCGCATACAGCGAGTCAAAGTTGGGCAAAGCCTACTTTACAACACAGTCCTGGATGTCTTGTGGAATTGATAGACTATCGTACTGAAGGTGCTTTCACACCACTGCAGGGTTGAAAAGTCCTAAGCTGAACCCTCATACGTCAGAGACCACCTGTATGTACATTCTCCCATCTACACTCTAAAGCTCTAACTTCCTGCTGGATGGCTGATGGCTGTTGTCATCCTCATCCAACTGACAGGAAAACAGGTACAGACAAGTGAATAACTTTCCAGCTCTCTCACTAGGCCTTGGCTGGGGGCCGTCTGCCCCACCCCCAATTCTCTAATCTTTGCACTTATTCACATAGTCACTGGGGGTCAGTAGAGGGAAAATTGGTTCTGTGATCTCCAGCAGCCATTTTCTTCCTGGCTGAACAGGAGGGTTACAAAGCCACGCTGTCCAAGTCTGATGGCCCCAGCCTGGCTCTTTATGCCCCAGGATTTCACCTCACAGGGCTGAGGGGCCACCAAAGCTCCTCTTGGCGCTGCCTCTGGAGTCTGCCCCAATGTCATCCATCTCCCCACACAGCCTCTGGCTTGGGTAGCAACTATGCGCATACACTCACTTGCATTCCACCCACAGCACTCTGGTGTTCCAGCCTAACTTTCTCATGCATACTAATTTACTGACCTTCTGGTTTTCAGTGCTTAAAGCTCTCTGTAACAGTAGAACACACCAGACCAAGTGGAAATTCACAAAATCCAACCTGCGGTCAGACCCATTGGATTGCTCGCCTGCCCAGCTTCCACCACTGCCTGGCTGTGTGGCCTTGGGCATGTTGCTGGGCTTTTCTGAGTTGGAGTCTTTTTCTATACAGTGGGGCATGAAGACAGTGAGGATGGTATCAGGGACATGTTTAACCCAATGCTTAGTAAAGTGTGCATCATCGTCATTGTTACCATTGTGACTTCCAACTTAGGACGAGAACACCGTTGTTAAGGGTGGGAAGCACTACAGAAGTGGCCCCAACCCTCATGTTCGCTATTCAGAACGCTTCTGGCTGGCAAACCCCTTGCCCCAAGAGCAGGTGACAGGGAAGAACTCAAGCCAAAGGAGAAAAATTGCCATGTTGAGGAGGCTCAGCCACAGTAGGAGGGGAAACAGCTGATGGTACCACTTGTACTTTAATTTGTGGGAGGAGAGTCAGGTGCCCTTGAATCCTCCTGGGGACTTGAGAACTGGGGGCTGAGTGAGCAGTCCCACATGTGACTGTGGCCTGGAGATCACCGTCACTGTCCTCCTTGTCCCCAGGGCCTTCAAGGCTGAGTGGCCTGGCCCTAATCTGGCAACAGAGGAGTCAGTGCTGCTTCCATGAACTCAAAGGATCTTACTGGGCCTGTGCGGGCATTGGTCCATTCCAGGCCACCACCAGGTCCTCCATGGACTCAATCAAAATGACTCTGCCAAAACTTTAGGCCAAGAATTCCCCTTTGGATAAAATGGGTTCTCAGAAATCAGTTTATTTCCCTGACCACAAGTCTGTATTTTTACCCAAAGCTCCATCAAATCTTAACAGTCTCCGGTCAAGCTTTTAAAGCTTTGCCAATATTTTAAAGATGAGAATCATCAGGGTTCTAAAAATCTAAGCATTAAGAAGTAAAGGAAAATTCAGACTCTGACCACAGGAGGAAAACACATTGTTGCTTCCAAATGTAAGCATTTTAAGCATACTAACCATATCAAGTGTCCTATTGCCACCCCTACACATATGAGGATACTTCAAAAACTTCCTGGTCAAACAAAGCTAAATGGTAAGTTGATTTTGGTGGAAAATATTTTGAAATGCATGCATCGTTTTTTCACAATTTGCATTTTCCATGAGCTTTTTGAAGTACTCCACTACGAGTACAGTAAGAGATACATTGTGGAGAAGCTTTGCATGGTTTTTGAAAAATGTCTGAAACCAAGTAGTGCAGAGACATTGGGGTGAAAGAATGGCAAGAGCATCCTTGAGAGGACAGAAAGGTGGAGCCTAGCTCCCTCGACCCTCCTGAGGGGCCCACGGGTCCAGGGAGCTCTTGAGGGGAAGACTTGGTTCAGATGATTGAGCAAGGGTGACATTAGAACTCTGAAGGTCAATATCTGCTCTAATTCTATTTTTTTTAGATTTATTTTATTTATTTGAAACAAAGAGTTACAGAGAGAGAGAAAGAGAGAGAGAGAGAGATTGACTGAGTCTTCCATCCAATGGTTCACTCCCCAGTTGGCCACAATAGCCAGAGCTGAGCTGATCTGAAGCCAGGAGCCAGGAGATATTCTTGGGTATTCCACATAGGCGCAGGGGCCCAAGGACTTAGGCCATCCTCCACTACTTTCCCAGATGCATAAGGGAGCTGGATTGGAAGTGGAACAGCCAGGACTTGAACCAGTGCCCATATAGGATGCTGGCACTGCAGGCCAGGACTTTAACAAACTGAGCCACAGTGCCAGCCCCCTGTTCTTTCTAATTCTGTCTCTGCTGTTACTTCCCTGCAGTACTCAGTGCATTATCTCACAGGAAAATAAAAATAGAGGCTAAACTGAGCTAGTTACAAAGCAGTTATAAAAAATAAAAATATAACAATCAAAATATCAAGGACATCCTTCTCAGATGTGGAAAAAATGATGCTAAAAGTCATATAGAAACACAGGGGATCCTGAATAGCAAAAGCAATCTTTTACAACAAAAACAAAGCAGGAGGCATAACAATACCAGATTTCAAGATATACTACAAGGCAGTTATAATCAAAACAGCCTGGTAGTGGTGCAAAAACAGATGGATAGACCAATGGAACAGAATAGAAATGGCAGAAATCAATCCATGCATCTAAAACCAACTTATCTTTGACAAAGGAGCTAAAATCAATCCCTGGAGCAAGGACAGTCTCTTCAACAAATGGTGCTGGGAAAACTGGATCTCCACATACAGAAGTTCGAAGCAAGACCCTTACCTTACATCTTACACAAAAATCCACTCAAAATGGATCAAAGACCTAAATCTATGACCCAATACCATCAAATCATGAAAGAATATTGGGGAAACCTGTAAGACACTGGCACAGGCAGAGTTCTTGGAAAAGATCCCAGAAGCATAGGCATACAAAGCCAAAATTAAAAGTGGGATTACATCAAGCTGAGAAGCTTCTGCACTGCAAAAGAAGCATTCAGCAAAGTGAGGAGGCAATCGACAGAATGGGAGAAATTATTTGCAAACTATGCAACAGATAAAGGACTAATATCCAGAACATATAAAGAGTTCAAGAATCTCCACAACAACAAAACAATCCAGTGAAGAAATGGGCAAAGGTCTTCAACAGACATTTTTCAAAAGAGGAAATTCAAATGGCCAACAGTACATGAAAAATGCTCAGGATCACTAGCCACCAGGGAAATGCAAATCAAAACCACAATGGGATTCACCTCACCCCAGTTAGAATGGCTTTCATACAGAAATCAACAAACAACAAATGTTGGCAAGGATGTGGGGGAAAAGGTACCCTAATCCACTGTTGGTTGGAATGTAAAGTGGTACAGCCACTGTGGAAGACAGTATGGAGATACCTCAGAAATCTGATATAGACCTACCATATGACCCCAACATCCCACCCCTGGGAATTTACCCAAGGGGAATGAAATCAGCATGTGAAAGAGTTATCTGCACCCCCATATTTATTGCAGCTCAATTCACAATAACTAAGACATGGAATCAACCCAAATGCCCATCAACTGAAGACTGGATAAAAAAAATTATGGGAATGTACACCATGGAATACTACACATGGTAAAAAAAAATGAAATGCAGTCATTTGCAATAAAATAGATGAATCTAGAAAACATATTTACTGAAATAAGCCAGTCCCAAAGGAACAATTACTATATATTCTCCCAGACCTGTGATAACTTATAGAGCACTGAATGGCAATCTAGAAGTGAAACTGGCATTT